TTCCATATGTCCTGTTTCTGAGAGCAAAAATCCATAGCATTAAAATAAATAATACTTACTTTTAAGTATAACAGTAGAAACTTAATAAGCATTTAATAAATATTGGTTTTTCATTTTCATATAGTACCTCAAATTATTTTATATAAATATTAACATTTAATAGCATAGAGTATATTACCCTCATTTCATGCTAATTTTGAATGTAAAATGGTTCCAAATTACTGTTTTTGAAAATTCCATTAAGTTCACAATTTATTACATCAGAAGTCATGATTCTTTGAATTTTTAAAATAATTGGAATTTGTAGGAACAATTTTTTTATAATTCTCAACCTTAACTAAGCACATTTGAGAGGGAAGTTTGTGAAGTTACTTTATGCCCTTTAAGTATTTTAAACCAGAATTTGAGTTTTATGTCCGCTACTTCATTTAGACAACAGAATGCTAGAGTTTGATGTCCAGAGGACTGCAACAAGAAAAAGAAACTAAAAAGGAAAAAAAAATTAGATGTTTGCCTAGGACAGTTAAAAGTTCCAATCCTTCGGCCAATGGCATCTATTTATACTTTATTTGTATTATATCTTCCAACTAATATGGACACACAGCTAATAAAAAGCTAGTTGACTTGGTGGCCATATTTGCAGCATTTTAGTTGGGAACATGGGGATGTAAAAAGAAAATAAATCTATTGGCTTGAGGTTTAATAAAAATATTTTCATTTTTATGAATACACCTTATCTTTCCTATTCCTTATAGAGAATGAAGATAGTATACTATTAATGAGCTCAAGGAGAAATTAATGTCCATAAAGACCATATAGTAAAAATATGAAAGAAAAATGTCTTCAATAGCTAGAAAGATTATGGCTTCACAGAAAAATTAACCCAATAACATAATGGTTATCAAAGCTATTGAACTGGACATAACCAATTTTTTTTCAAAACCATTATTTGGATTTGTATTATCTTTGGAAATAATATACTTTTCCTGAATTTTTCTGATAAAATTTTTCAAAAAAATGTTCTTTAAGTAAAGGACAATGTTGTTATATGTGTCAAATTCAACCCTTCTTCTCCATGACAACAGATAAAGAAGCTGTAACCATGGCAATGGTAATGGACCAGAGAGATTAGGGACAGACAGGAGATTAGGCCTCCCACAGCAAAGAAAGGAAGTCCTGATTGGTTTTTTATTAAGACCTTATTTGAAGACAAGTTTTTGTTGAGAGAAAGCAGGGAGGATTAGTAAGAACGAAATTAATTTCCCTGTAAAACGTAAGAAGCCACTCCTTTGTTAAAAAATACCCCACCCTTTTCATATAACAACTGTTTAAATAGAGGTAAAGAGTCTGTGATTAATTCTATTCTGAGTTTTGACTTTGCCATGTGTTTGTACAAAAGCTGCATGTGAGAAGATGCTCCCAGAGGCCTACAGCGAGGAGAATCTATCCATATGCAAATCACATTGCCCTGTTTCTTGGCAATCCCTGGAAAAGTGCAGAAGCCAACTCATTTCTAATGGTGATGTCATGAATGAATGAGGAACACTTGGAGAAAAAGGATTTGAAAACTTCTGTCCTTTTAAAACATATTTTCTAACTTCTTGAAAATTCTCAACATGATTTTTCCAAGTCATAATTAAGCACATTTAAAAAACTTTTCTAAATAAAAAAAACTCACAAATCTCACTAGGTTCTCATTTTGATTAATCTGATGAATTGTAAATTTATTCCATTCTGAGTATGAATGATGTTTATTATTTCAGATATTGCAAATTAAGAGGGGATTTATTATTTCTTAAATAACAGATTTATAGAAATGAGAGTGTTTGGCCAAATGGTTAGTATACGTTTCCATTGAAAGGATTTTTGCAAATCAATTCCTTAAAAGCTATAACTGAGACAAATGTGCCCTGACAGTGTATCAGAGCCACACACTGACCAACTGAGGTACTAGCACTCATTTAAACCTTGTACCCTGAAAGGTTTTTAAGTTTCATTTTAATGCATGTTTCTTTGAGTAATTATCAGTAGAAATCCTACTTTTCAATAAGGGTACCCACTCAGTGTTTTTTTAGATATTCAGTTAATGGTTGCAGAGCGGTGGGTAGATAAATATGCCAACTTGCTTCCCTTGGGGATAGATGACCTAAGGCATATCTTCCACTAACTTCCATGGGATTTCCCTTGAGTTTCCCAAAGTGGTAACCAACCAGATAACTCATTCTTTTATAGGACTCCTTCCCTGCCCTGTTTTAGCTTACAACTCCCCACCAGTGTTCCCGGGATCACATCTCAAATAAAGTATTCACCCATAAATCTTTTCTGAAGCCATATCTGTGAGGGAAGCCAAACAGAGACAAATGGTTAAAAAGAACCAGGCCAGCAAGCAAGCTAAGAAATCTGGAATATGTCCTGTGGTAAAGAGTAGAGACTTATCTGTATAAAGTTAATTGAAAATATATCTTTGTAAAAAATAAGAATGAGAATAGGAGAGAGAGGAGGAAGAATGGTGGGAGTGTGGGCAAGAGGGAGGATAGGGTGGAAAGAATCAATGTGTTTCTAAACTTGTGTATATGAAATGCATGAAGTTTGTTTACCTTGTGTAAAATGTTTTTAGATTTAAAAAAAGAATAGAGACTTAGACTTGTATGCCCTTGAATGCTATGAACCAATGTATAATTATGAGGAAGGCTGAATTAAAATAAGACCTGAAACATGGGTGGGGATTCTAGTGAAACGGTGTGACGGTTTAAGTCACACCGTTTGTATGTCAGTAAAGATATAATAGGGTAGATTTGCATGATATCCAGAAAGGGGACCATATTATTTTGAAAGGGAAGGAATGTCAGAAATTTGTAGGGGATGCATTTTGGGTTCCTGGACTGAACATTGAAAGGGTAGCATAGACACAACTGGGATAAGCAGCCTGCAAGGGAAGTAGAATAAGAGAGAAATAATAGGTTCTCCCCGTTTTTATAATTTGAGTTTTTTACAATGTGTAAAAAACAAGAGTTTTACCAAGCAGTTTAATATTATCCATATTCCTGAGAGTGATGCTGCATATGCAGTCATCAATCTTTGCCTCTCCCCCATCATTTTGCTACAAAAGATTGACAAACTTGCTCCCAATATTCCATTTATCTCAAATACTGTGCTGATCAGGGAAGCACAGGGTAATGTTTATTCACAAAGAAGCAGTCAGAGAATCTATGAAGCCAGAAATAACTTTGAAAGCTTTTGACCATTCTTTAAAATATCTCTTTGTCTGTGTAACTAGTAAGTACTGTAAATTGACATTGTTTCTAGATTCACTGGAAAAGTAAATATTTTCATCCCCGTCCTATAGAAATGTATTTTTTTCCCAGGTCACAGGAGTTTGGTTTATGGTAGGGATAACAACCCAGCCAGCATCTGTATAAAGAGAGTTCAAGAGTAGAGATAAACTTCAATGAAAAAAGGCAATAAAAGACAATTTGAAGACTATATTTAGGAAAATGAACATTTTGGTTAGACATCACTGGTCAAAATGAAACAAAAAGAAAACAGATATTCAGCAAAGAAAAATTATGAAATACACATGTTAAATTCACACACAAATCCATAATTAATAGAAAATTTCAATTGTAGATTATAAACACCCCAAATATTTGAAAAAGAAAATTTCCAATCAAGAATGATTTACAGTTATCCCTATGAATAGTGATTATTGAATTCTGCTAAAAGAGTGATACACTACTATCACAGTGCAATTGTTTATGTATTGTAGAATTTTTTTCTGTCATCTCCTTTACCAGCAGGTAGTCCATGAGAACTTCTTTTTGCTAGATCCTGGGAACTTTAAAATTGTTGCTTTAGATTTTCTGTGATCCTAAAATATAAATAAATACATTACTTCCAATTGTATCAAAAGCAGTGTAAACAAACTAAGTAATACAAGGTTTTATTACAGCAACTTGATTACCTGAGGCATCTATCAATACCTTGAGCTTCATGGCTATGTTACAGAATGTTGGAGGTCTCCATTGCATTTTCAGATTAGTTTTGCTAAACTCCTTGACAATTTATGTACAATTTTGTGGCTATGTCTTTTCTACTATGAAACACATTTTAACTTATCAATATTTTAAAGGATCAGCTTAGTTATAAATGTTCCTTAAGAATTACATTTTATATATATATATTTCACATTGTGATAAATTAGGTGACATCAACTTTTATTGAAACTATTTGATCACCTTTTTCCTAAAGTATTGAGAAACCTCAAAAAAACTATGTAAACTTCACTGAGATTATGGTACTCTCAGCTCCTTTATGAACTCTGAGAAAGCTGATACGTTATCTTTTTAAAAATAGTCACTGTAAATTTGACTTTGTATTTAATGTTTTAAGTATATATTCTGTATAATAATATCTTTCTTCAAATACAGGTACATGCATTTTTTTGATTCATTTACTTATTTATTTAGATCTCGCCTCATTCAAGAAAGGATGCAGGAAAACACATTATTATTATATTATATTACTTATATAATTTTGATGTGCTTTGACATCACTGATATGCCTCTTATCCGAGATATTTTCTGTTATCACATGAAGTCATGATAAATACAATCCCTTTACAACCCTGAATCCTACTATCCTACTTCTAAAGCGAGTTAATTCTAGAACTCTTGTGCTTTTGAAAACTCCACATTACCTAATTTGTGTCCCTGATGCTTGACTAAGTGAATTTTTTTTTTTAGTGTCATGGATTCTCTGAGTAATAGAAACTAGACAAATAATATGTAGTGGAATAATGTACAGTATTAATTAGCCTCTGTTCAAACCCAAGATATTTGAATATGTCTTTGATTCCATTTGCTGGGTGCTTGTTCTAGTTTTCCTTTTTGAGCATATGTGATTGTATCATAGCTATGCTTGTGATTAGGACAGCTCTGTGTTCCTGCCCTACTGTTCTGTGGCACCCGCCCCTCTGACATCCTCCTCTCCTTCCTCCATAGCTATCCCAAGCTCCAGTGTCCTCCCTTCTGCTCCCAGAGATGTGGTCCCTGTCTTAGTTTCCAGTCGGTTTGTCCGTCTCAGCTGGCGCCCACCTGCAGAAGCAAAAGGGAATGTTCAAACCTTCACAGTCTTTTTCTCCAGAGAAGGTGACAACAGGTATGTTCTTAACTTCATTCACCATCACACTAAGTATCTGCATGGGATCAGACCTTGAGCAGAGACTATGGGAACAATGAAACCTCTACTCTGTGTCCTACATTCATTACTAGTTGGAGATGTGTGGTTTTTAAAAGGAGAACTGCTCACACCATCAATTAAAACATTTCTATATAACTTCCTTTAAGAAAGGCAAGAATGTCAACATGTGATACCATATTTTTTATTTCCTCGATTTTCAAAATGGTAGACAAAAAGCAGCAGCAAACTCTGCGTTAGCAGATCTGAGTACAGAAGAACCACTGTGGCCAGTTGATAATCCCAGCTCTGCCAATGACATCCTGTAATCTCCAAAAAATGATAAGACTTTCCTGGGCCACACTTTACTCTTTTTTTTTTAGATTTATTTTATTTATTTGAAAGGTAGAGTTATAGAGAAAAAGGGGGAGGGGTGGTTCTGAGATATTCCATCTGCTGACTCACTCCCCAAATGGCCCCAATGGCTAGGAGTGGGCCCGGCCAAAGCCAGGAGCTTCATCTGGGTCCTCCACGTGGGTGCAGGGGCCCAAGGTTTTAGATGCTCTCCCACTACTTTCTCAGGTACATTAGAAGGGAGCTGGTTCAGGACTAGAGCAACTGGTTAGGGTGCCAGAGCTACAGGTGATGGCTTTATCCATTATGCCACAACAGCAGCTCTGTACATTTTACTCTTTACCAAGGAGATAACAATGTTAACCTTGCAAGTCCTGTTTTGGGATTAATTTACATTGTACAGAGAAAGGTCAGAGAGTGTCAAGTATGTGGCAAAAGTTATTATTGTGAATATTATTATTGACTAGGCAAGTTTGTCTTCAAACTACTGTTCTGGATTTTTCCCAATGTTTTTCCCACATAATTTTTTACTCTGTTGAAATTCTAAAATTTGATTTATAAACCTACAGGTAGATATTGGATAAGCTCCATTCAGAGAGAAGAATGGATTCATGTCCTCATCATCTTTTCTCTCCCAGTGGTATTTAGGAAGCCCTCATGATTCAAGAGAGAATAAGAGGGGACTCTGAAAAGTTTGTGTAAAATGTAATTATAAGTAATTTTCATGCAAAAGTGTTTGAAACCCATGCATAGGTTTTTCATAACATGGATTCCCATGAACATTTGAAAATACCCAGTATGTGTTGGGCTTGCCAGCGTGGTGGTTAGTACCCAGCGCTGCTGCAGTATGATCATCAAGTGCTGCATTTCCAGCTTCTCTCGTGCTGAGTCTCAAATGGTTTTTCTCTCTAGTTGGCAGCAGTAGTTAAAGTATGTCCTTTTTAGTTTGACGTCAATTTAGAATGAAAGGAAAAATAGACATACATATACAGCTTTAGGCTCACTAAGATCATTCATTACCATGGAAAGGCAGACATTTATTTTTGTCTTATCTCTGAAACTCTGTGATCCCAGGGTGTCTCCTAAGTTACTTGGATCTCAGTGAGTGCAGTTTTGAATGCTGGAAATAATCATTCTTATCCCATAATCTTCATGTATTTGCCTGTGTTTCTTAGAAATACCTTAAATTCAATGTGCCTAAAACCGTATTTCTTATGTCTTCATTATATATATTTTCCTTGGTTCATGTTAACATTTTCCATCCAGTTAACCAGGCAAAAAGCCCAGGTCATATTTTACTCCTCCCTGATGCTTACCACTGCCGTTCATCACCAAGTCTTGTCAAGTCTACCTCGGCCATAGCTCAGCCGTGTCCTTTTTATTCTGTTACTTTCATCATTATTTACCTGATCTCTGGCAATACCTTCTCACCTCCTTATCCATCCTCCCCACTGTCTCTAGTTATCTTTTTGAAATACAGTTTTAGTCACTCTACCACTCAAAAATGTGAATGGCCTTACATTACACACAATAAAATATTCACTAATAGAGTCACACATAATAACTTACGAAAGTCCTTTGAAAGCAGATCAAGCCATAAGCTCTATATAGATAGAAATATGGTTCCTATAACACAATGCTTAAAAGTATGCCATTGAAGTTCAAATGGCTGGGTTTGTAAATGGTCTTACTGTTTAATAGATTGTGACTTTATATACTTCATCATGTATAAAACAGGAATAATACCCCTCTGCTGAAATAGATAAAGGGAAGGCAGATTCTACCTGTCAAGATAGAATGAAAGTTAAGTGAGGGGATTCGGGTTAAGCATTCAGGACAATCAGTGTATACAAGCAGAGTGGAGGTCTTAAACCAGTGTGAGTTCAGGGACAATGAGCAAAAGAGACTGAAAATTGGGCTCCAATGGTGATAGTGCTTACAGTGTTGGTGTGGTAATGATGATTATGAAAAGGAGAAAGAAAAAAGAAATTGTGTTTCTGAATGAACATTTATTTTTATAACTTTATTTTCCCCTCCTTATAACACCACTTTTCTTTCCTCTTCTGCTGAAATCTTTCTTAAATTTCAAGCCAGAGTATCAATTCTCTACACTCCTTTTATCATTCCTTCAAATGGACATACTGTGGTCTTTGTCAACATCACTCAGTGCAATGTCTGTACTGGCTCCGTTTTAGTTGTCACACTCTGGCCTCATTTGCCAGACTCTTGCCTTCCCGTCTTCAGTTAGAACTCTGATCAGAGCAAACCTTCAATTCCACATGGACCTTTAATGCATTGGTTCCATGGTGTTTTTATTGTCCCTCATCTTTCTACTTCATTTTTAAAAGATCTATTTCTTTGCAAGGCAGACTGATCGGGGGCACAGGGGACAGGGGAGACATGTCTTCCATCTATTGTTTCAGTCCCCAAATGGCTACAAAATAGAAGCCAAGAAAAAGAAACCCAGGCAACCATTAGGTCTCCCATTTGGGTGGCAGGGGCGCAAGTATTTGGGCCATCCTCTACAGTCTTCCTAGGCACATTGGAGGAAGCTGGATCAGAAAGCAGCAGCTGGGACTTGAACCACTGCTCAGATATGGGATTCTAGCATTGCAGACAACAGGTTAGCTCACTGCCCTAAAATTCCAACCCTTTCCTTTATTCTGTAATCACCTAAATTTCTGGGGCCAACTGTTGGAAACAGTTGCTGAATACATGGATGTTTTAGCTACTACTTTATTATTTTATGTTATTTACTTAGCAAAACCCACTTAAGTAAATATAACTTTCTACCCACCATTACACTCCTTCTTTTAAGATTTATTTATTTGAAAGTCAGAGTCACACAGAGAGAGAAGGAGAGGCAGAGAGAGAGAGAAAAAGAGAGGTCTTCCATCTGCTGGTTCACTCTTCAATTGGCTGCAGCAGCCAGAGCTGTACTGATCTGAAACCAGGAGCTAGGAGCTTCCTCCAGGTCTTCCCATGTAGGTGCAGGGGCTTAAGGACTTGGGCCATCTTCTACTGCTTTTCCAGGCCATAGCAGAGCTGTATTGGAAGTGGAGCAGCCGGGACTCAAACCGGCGCCCTTATGGGATGCCGGCACTGCAGGCAGCCACTTTACCTGCTACACCACAGCTCTGGCCCCACCACTATACTCTTGATGCATTATTACAGCTGAAAGAAAAGGTCCAACTGAATTCATTGTTAATCTTACATTGTGCATTAATGCTACTGGCAATTATACTGCATTTATTAGTAAGTCTCTCACACTTCTAAAGATATTTTTTATCTTTTCCTCTCTTTATATATCTCCACGTTCCCCTCGTTCCCTCATTATTAGTTACCTTGCTTTTAATTTCCTAAAAAAAAAAAAAATAAAGGAAGGTCTACAACCTTCCACATCTGTCTTATCTGTTTATGTATGTCTTGCAGCATTTCTAAAATCTGCTTTTTCTTAAATTTCTATAAAAGAATGGCCTATTGTGTTAACTAAGGCCAGAGTTTTATTTATGAGCTGGACCCCATTCTTCGCTGAAAAATTAAAGAACAAATATTGGCTGTCCTTTCTCCTGCATTGCTAACTTCCCCACTGAAATGGATTGAACACATCAGTACAGAAGCTTGCAGCTGTATCTTCCATCCAGCTTTTCTCCCTTGATCCTACTTGTCTGGCCTCTAGCACTCCTTTATCTGCTCCATTTAATAGCAATATTCCTCGAATTGTTCAACTTTCTCTCCGTGTGTGTGTCTCTCCCCCACCCTCTCTCCCTCTCTCTGTAACTCTGCCTTTAAATAAAATAAATAATGAAAAAACGTGTTCAGCTTCACTCCAATATCCCACTTCATATTCTAGTTGGGATTGTGTCCCTGGTATCTCATTGTAAGAGCTCATTTCAGGGTTCACCAGACACCTCCATATTGTAAACCCAGTCATTTCCTGGTTCTCACATTACTTAATAATCACATTGTTTGACCAATCAGAAAGTCTGGAACATTGACCACTTTCATTTTCATGAAACTCATTCTTCATGTAGTTGCTATTCCTGAGACTGTTCTGGCCATTTATTTCCAGGCTCTTTAACTTTTTCTTCCTAAACTCCCTGGTCTGTGAATAATGGATTGCCTGAGGACTCAAGTCTTGGAAATCTCTTTTCATCTCTACGACTTTATTTTCAAATTTGTATCTCTGGTACTAACTCACTTGGAATTCAAGTTCATAGGTCCAACTTCCTTCTTGATTTCTGAAAATGTCCTCCAGGCATCTAAAAGTTAGGAACAACACCAAATATGTTTCCCATCAACCGCAGTTCTTCTTCCTAACTACTTCATGATTCTAGAATTTTACCAATTTCACTGAAGTCTTCATTATTTTAGTTAATGAGGATAAAATCTTTGGAAAAAAATTTTTTAGAATGTATTTACATTTTTTTCTAAATTTGGAGTTACAGAGAGAGAGAGTGTGCACTATCTTCCATCTGCTGTTTCACTCTCCAAATGGCCACAATGGTTACAGCTGGGCCAGGCCAAAGCCAGGAGCCAGGAACTTCATTCAGGTCTCCATGTGAGTGACAAGGGTCAAAGGACTCAGGCTGTTTTCTGCTACCTTCCCAGTCTCTTAGCAAGGAGCT